TGCCCACCAGGAGGGGTGCCGCAGTCCTTGCTGCATTGCCTATTGACGTGTCTCCTGCCTTGTGGAGGCTGCACGTGAAATACTCGAAGAGGAGGGAACTCATTCCAAATGCGAATGCGTTGACTCAGCGGGTATAAGGACTGCGAGAACCTCATTGGCTGCATCTGGTCCTGCCCCTAGCCTGGAAAGCAAACACTATTTGAGTTGCTACCGCCCGAAAATGTAAAGCACATGCCCACCATGAGAAGCGCCCGTGCCGCTGCCGAGATGTCAACTGACCTAGCCCCTGCCCCAAGAGGGCCGCACAATATGATCAGCAACGTATTCGTGAGGGAGGTGTCCCAGCGCGAACGTGTGAACGTCAGCCTGCCGGGTATATTCACTGCGTTGAGCTCGCTAACTGAAACTGGTGTTGCCCCAAAACCACGATGCACACGGTCACTGATCTGCTACCGCCCGCTGGGCTAAAACACGTGCCGGCCAAGAGGAGTGCCTCTGTCTCTTCGGATATGTTTGTCGACGTGGCCCCTGCCAAAAGGGTACTCCACAGGATGGCCGAAGTGACGCCTCCGCCCCCGTTTCCACTATCACTTCCGCCGCCACTATTCGCCTAACACGCACTCTGCCGCCGCCGTCCGCCTCCGTCCCCCCCCAAGCCGCCGACACCACTGCCTCAACCGCAGCCGCCGCCTTCGCCCCCGCGTCCACCGTCGCCACTGCACTATCCACATCGGCTCCACATGCGGCCGGATGGGCTTCACGAGACGGCCCACAGACCTGAAAAGGATCGAGCCATCGTGGCTACGGAGGGGGGAGGGGCCCACCATCTGGAGAGAGGGGAGGGGGGGGGGGGACGCGCTGAGATGCCCCGGAGGGGGTCCTCGCAGAAGGCGGCGGGACTTCTCGGAAGCCCTCCGGCCGTCTGAGAAGTGCCCTTCTTTCTGTCTTCGGGGAAAGCTTAGCAGACTTCTCAGCAGGCCGGGGGACTTCCGGGCCTTCTGGGAAGGCCCGCCTCTTCTCACTCCCCCCCAGGGCTCGCCGCCGAATTGAGAATCGATGCCGGGCCATGCCCTAACCTATATCTGCGGCCCAGCCTGCCGCTACCACTGCCCAAGGCCTTGCCATTGCTCGGACGTCCATTCACCGCGCGTGTTTCGGCTTCGTGCGCTCAATCCGTTCCACAAGGTGAGCCAGAGAAAAATGCCACACCCTGGGGTGCGTCTTAAGCATGACACAAATTGTCGGAACACGAAAACCAGCCTCGTGCTGGTTGCGATCGACCTGGCGTCTCAGGACGGCCAAAAGACCACGACAACAACTAACCGAAGTGATGCTGTCGAGATCAGTGGGTTTTCCCCCGAGGCACCCTCCCGAAAAATTCAATTAGTTCTGGACGTCTGGGATGGGTACGACAAAAATCGGCACGATGCACCAAAAATCATGTTGTCCAAAAACAAAAGCGGTCGCCCTCTTGGGCAGGCGACCTTCTGTCTCAAACGAAAAACGTCCGCAGCGACGCCGACAGCAACTCCTGCTCAACATTGGCAAGATTTGCTGTTAGTCTTCCAGCTAGAGAGCAGAACCTTGTCCACGACAAGCGAAGCAATTCAGAAAAAGCAACTCAAGAAGGAACCGAAAAGGGCAGGGCTGCTTAGCAAACGTCCAGGGGCGCTTAGTGAACTCAGCTGATCGGGGTCAAAGTTTTGTCCTCCCTTGATCTTCGCATCCATTCATTCCGTCCCCATTGGTTGTGGCTCTTTCCTCTGCCCGGAGAGGCGGGCGATGGACCGAACCTTCGGACCTCGACGACTAGAGGCGCGCGAGCGCCGGGCGCAAGCTTCGCCATCGCTCAGACGTCCAGTCCCCAGGCATTGTTCGGTCTCGTGCGAGTTTCTGTTGCTCGATGATCCAGGAGGCTCCCCGATGGTCCTCGCCGTGCCACAGTACACACGCCCGAGCGATGCCAGGAAGCCCGCGTTTGTGTGAGGGGCCTTCGCTGTCCGGGCAGCAGGTGGTGGCAGAAAGACGGGCCTTAAGCGTGCCTCAGACCCTGAGGGCAAATCAAGGTGAATGAGACGAAGCAATGACGATGATAAAACTGGGGGAGGCTGAATCGAGAATCTCTTAGTTCAGGCGGCTCTGGAGGATGTCTCCGTCGCCGCAACCTTCTCAAAGCGTTCCAGAACGCTCTGGGAGCGTTCTAGAACGCCCTGGAGCGGACTTATCCTCGTCCTGGCCCCGTCCGAATGAAGGAGAGGGGATGACGGGGGGGATACTCTCTCGTTGCTCTGTCGCTTCTCTGCTTTTATTTCCCATCTCCAGAAGATGGGGCTCTTGCTACTACTCCAGTAATCTGTTGTGTTATCGTATCGTACGTGATTAAATACTATCTGTGTGTTGTTCTGGTTACGATGTGATGTTATATTACGATGGTGCTGCAGAAACAGATGATGATGATAATGATGATATGATGATGGTGATGATGGCGATGATGGCGGAGCAGATTCTGAGGATGTCTCGCGCGAAGCGCAGATTTCAGCATCCCCACGGGGGAGACGCCAGGGGGTAATGCACTCCTCCCTCGCGACAAAATGGCGGGATGTCTCGAACGGTTCTCATGTTTCACCACCCGACAGCATCCGCTTTCGGAGCAGATGTTCAGGATGTCTCCAGCGAAGCGCGGGTTTTCGCACCCCGGGGGGGAGGGGGGCAGAGGTTGAGGATGTCTCGAGCAGTTTGCTTATTCCTTGGTGGCCACATTCGTCTGGGTTCTGAGTAAAGTATGGGGATGTCTCGGGTGAGGTGTCGGTTTCTACACCCCAAGGGGCGCAGAGGGCGATAATGTTTATATTCACTTATCCTCAAACTCACTTGTGCTCAGGCTCACTTAGACTCAGACTCGTGCTCATCACACTCATACCCAAACTCACTCACACTCAGACTTACGCACAGGAGGGGTTCCAATCCAAAGTTTTTTACGTATGCTCCTATCCATTTGGCCCTTTACTGGGGCACGAATCTGTAATGTCTTACGTGCGTTTCTATAGCTTCAAATCCTCCTCCTCATCATCATCCACCTCCTCCTCTACACCCCCATACTTCTTATGAGGAGGTGCGGACACTCGCTTGCCCAACTGGCGAGGCGGCAAAGAAATTCGCCAGCTCACACCCAAGAGGCGTGTAAGATGTCCGGTAACGATTTCACAGCATTTCTAATTCATGCGCGCAGGGCGGCCCTTGGGAGCCTCCGAGCGAATGGTATATTCGCGAGATCCCGCAGAGGTCCGGGTCAAATCCCAGGCCATCCCATGAAAGAAAACAATGTCCGCAACCACTCAGACGGATCGTTGCTTCCACAGTGGGCGCTATAATCGACAACCCTTTCTCCCGCCCAGAAAGCACCCCAAGAATCCCCCAATATCTCCGCAAGAGACCCATCAGAGCCCAAGAAGCCGCCGAGGAGCCCCAAGAACCCCCCAAGAGATCCTGAAGAAGCTTGTACCATCACCAACATAACATCCCACGGCCGGCGGAATGGGCGAAACAATTGAATTCAGAGCAAAGAAACATGACAGGCACCGGACACCAGCGCCGAGCGCGACTCCGGCAACCTGGCGCATGACAAAGAAACGCAGGAGGAAAGGCAGGAGGAGGATGTGAAGAGGACGGAGGCTCACATGAAAAATCGCTGGAAAACACCCACAAGGGAAAAAACACTTCATTGAAAACCGCACGCCAAAATGACATCTCCCTCTTTCGTGGCCTGTGGCAAGAGGGCCCTTTCGTGCGCAACCTTAATGGCAGCCGCAACAACCTGGATCGGCAACGCGTACGGGTGACCCTCGGCAACAACGCCTTTTTGATGCGCAGCCTTAGGGGGGCCCGCCGGGGCCTGGACAACCGCGCGAACCAAAGCCGTCGGATTGCACGAACGACCGACGGGGGCGCGTCGATAGATCCCTGACGCGAGAACCAATTCATTTCGACAGCCCCAGAACGCCCGCCCGAGGGCTCTGCGAAGTCAAATGTATTCGGGCGCCAGCACGGAAGGTTCTGGCACTGCCGGGCCGCATCGTGATGGCGTCTAACTGATCCGGCGTCAAAACCGAAACTTGGCCCCTCCGAGATCGAAAATATCTTTCCATAGTAAAGGAATGTTTTGGGAAGCGCGGAAAAACAAGTTTTTTTCCCCAAAAATTAATCAACATCTCCTAGGAAGATTCGAAACTAATCCCAAGGAGGAAACTCACGTGGCCCGCGCGAGTGGACCTCCCCGCCAAACAAAGCACGCCGCAGAATGCGCCGCGCATGCATTACGATCGACTGCAAGGGGCGCGTCCTGAATCAAACGCCCCTCGATTGCGAAGGCCCCAGCGAAGCGGCGGAGAGAGAAAGAGAAAGGAAGGACAAATGCTGCCCGGCGAGGCGGAGATAGTTGCAGGCCTACCCATCTGCACGCGCGCGCTTGGCCACGTGGGCCGCCTTCGTGCGCTCAAGCGTGGCAGCGTTCTTCTTATCAATCTCCTTATTCTCGGGGACTTCCGCCCTGGCGCGCAAGATTGCGCCCGCGCCCCGGGCGCGCTGAGCCCGCCGCTGCACCGACTCGATTTTCTCCAGGGGGCCCAGAACAACGTCGTTGGCCTGCAAGCGAAGCTGGCGATCCCAAGAAATCTCAAACTTCGCCTCTCGCCCAACCTTCAAAGCGCCGCCAGCAATGACTGCGCTTCGGGGGCAGGAAATGGATCCGAAACGGGAAGCGATCGTGCAAACTCCCTTCTCTTCGTTCACGCTCACCACCACGCCCGGAAACCGAGTTGATCCTGGGTCTTCCACCACCTCAGGCTGCTCGTCCTTGCGCGAAAACAAAGAACGAGTCTGCGGCCCACGTTGCGGTGCTCCTGGGCTCTCTTCGAAGACCTCGCCCACGAAAGGGACGTCGCGTGCTCGGACATCTGCCACTCCGACTTTGGAATCCTGGCCGCCATCGGAGAATTTGACCATCACGAACGCTTTCTTGCATCCGCAACAATAGCGGCTGAACTTCGCTGGCCCAGGGCCCCGTAGACCCAGACACGCTAAACCAGGACACGCAACAACGCTAGAAACCAACTTTTCGAAACGGCATTGCCAAGAAACCAGGTCGACGCAATATTCCAAGCATAAATCTGGACGTCAGCATCAGAAAAGAATCTCCCCCCCAATAACGAAACAAAAAATTATCCCGGCAAAGCAACCTAACAGCGATGTGTAGGAGCATATCTGGAAGAATATCTGGGAGCATTCAAAATGTAGCCCGGGAATGGAGTTCTGGGAACTCGAAAACCAAAGTGGCCTACAGTTGGCTCCGGGCATTCAAAAATTGGCCCGGGAATAAAGTTCTGGGAACTCGAAGACCACGAAGTGGCCTACAGTTGGCTCCGGGCATTCAAAATGTGGCCCGGGAGTGGTGTTCTGGGAAGTCCAAGAGCACGAAGTGGCCTACAGTTGGCTCCGGGCATCCAAAATGTGGCCCGGGAGTGGGGTTCTGGGAAGTCGAAGAACACGAAGTGGCCTACAGATGGCTCCGGGCATTCAGAATGTGTCCCGGGAATGGAGTTCTGGGAAGTCGAAGAGCACGAAGTGGCCTACAGTTGGCTCCGGGCATGCAAAATGCGGCCCAGGAATGGAGTTCTGGGAGGTCGAAGAGCACGAAGTGAGTGACTGTTTGCTAATCCGGCTCCCGCCCAGACCCTCCTGGGGAGCCATCAGATGCTCTCTTTTGACTCCATTAGAAACCTATCAGTCTTCGCTGTTAGGTAATAACGAAACAAAAACGAAACGATTCCTGCAGCGCAGAGAACGCGTCTGCGTCCTGGTTTGTCAGTGTCCTGGTTTCCGGCGCCCTGACTGGCACGTAGATTCCGTGCTCGGGCCAACGAACTTCGACAAAGTCTCCATAGCGGAAATTTCCGGCAAACCGAACATCCTTCCCATGAGCCTTCGCGAACGCGTCTGCGGCCAACTGCTCGGGCAACTGCCGGATGGCGCACAAAGGGATGTCTGGGACGGGCACCTCGTCGGCCAGCGCGAAGAGGTCCATGGGCACCCCGCGGCACTCGATGACCTTAGCGAGGCGCACGTCCCCGTCAAGGTCGACGTGCACCAACCCAACTACTGAAAACCGTTTGTCCCATGTTTGCAACTCCCGTTGCACCACAATTTCTGACCCTGACAAACTCGTCAGCACGGCCGCGCCGCCAGCATCATTGCCCGCGGTGCCCTCCGAAAAAATGTAAAAAGGATTCCAGCGCGATCCACGAGGGAGAAATTCGATTGCAGTTGCTTCTTCTTGAACTTCGGAAGCCGCGTGGTGAGCAGACCAAACGGCACGGCAAGTGCATTCGCGGAAAGCCACGCATGCATTTGCGGCAAGACAGCAGACAAGTCGGACATGATAAGCTGGTCTCCAGATCTTCTGGCACAGGCGTAAGACACCGATGGAGAGACAGTTGCCGCCCGGAAAATCCGAGGTCGGAAGAAGCACTATATATATAAAAATAAAAAAACGCCCTTGAACCAACAAGAAGCTTGAGAACGAAGAGAAGGAGAGGGAGGCAAGGCCTATAGCAATCACCTCCGCAGGCCGATCTCAGCCCTCTGCTGCCTACAGGGAGATGCATTTGATCATTTCCTGTCGATTCGAATGCAGCCGATCCCGCCTCAGCCGAAATTCAAATTAATATCCACCCGATCGAGCTGATATTGAGATGGCGAGTGGGAATAAGATCGAAGATGGCGAGAGAAAATACTAGGACTCAAACAAATGGACAAATTTCGAAAACATAATATTCAACAGACCAAACTGGGCGCCGGCGGTAAATCGTCAACCTTGGTTACCGCCGGGAACTCGTAGAGCTTCCTCTTGCGACTGCCCAGCGAAAGTTGCATTCTAATTATTACAGCGTTTCAAAGATTTCTCCCTTGCCAGGCTGATCTCAGCCCTCTGGTGCCTTCAGAGAGATGCACTGGATCATGTCCTGTTGATTCGAATGCATCAGAGCTCTGGCAATGGCCTGTGGCTCGAGTTATCTTCGAAAAACCGTCGCAAGCACCCAAAGTTGCACCCTAATGATCAGAGGTTTTCGAACATTTCTCGTGCTTCAAGCCGATCTCAGACCCGCTGATGTCTACAGGAAGACGCATTTGGTAATTTCCCGTCGATTCGTATGAATCTGGGCTCTGGCAATGGCCTGTCGCTCGGGTTATCTTCCAGGGACCACCGCTAGCACCCAAAATGAGCTCTAACTGCAAATTCCGCCTCCGAGCTTCATACTAACTATCCCGTCAAAGCAACCTAACAGCGATGTGTAGGAGCATATCTGAAAGCATTCCCCTGAAGATTCAGATGAGAATCCAGTTGTAGAATTCTGCTGTTCTCGCAGTCGTAGTCGCATTCGCGATGACAGTCGCAGTGGCAACGGCAGTCGCAGTCACAGCCTCAGCCTGCGTCAGCCTCAGCCTGCCTCAGCCTCAGCCTCAGCCTGCCTCAGCCTCAGCCTCAACCTGCTTCAGCCTCAGCCTCAGTCTGCCTTCAGCCTCGGCCTCAGCCTCAAGCTGCCTCAGCCTCAGCCTGCATCAGCCTCAGCCTCAGCCTCAGCCTGCCTCAGCATCAGCCTGCCTCAGCCTCAGCCTCAGCCTGCCTCAGCCTCAGCCTCAGCCTGCTTCAGCCTCAGCCTCAGTCTGCCTTCAGCCTCGGCCTCAGCCTGCCTCACCCTCAGCCTGCCTCAGGCTCAGCATCAGCCTGCCTCAGCATTCAAAATGTAGCCCAGGAATGAAATCCTGGGAACTCGAATGCCACGAAATGGCCTACAGTTGGCTCCCGGCATTCAAAATGTGGCCCCGGAATGAAATTCTGGGAACTCGAAGACCACGAAGTGGCCTACAATTGGCTCCAGACATTCAAAATGTGGCCCGGGAATGGAGTTCTGGGAACTCGAAGACCAAGAAGTGGCCTACAATTGGCTCTGGGCATTCAAAATGTGGCCCGGGAATGGTGTTCTGGGAAGTCCAAGAGCACGAAGTGGCCTACAGTTGGCTCCGGACATCCAAAATGAGGCCCGGGAATGGAGTTCTGGGAAGTCGAAGAGCACGAAATGGCCTACAGTTGGCTCCGGGCATCCAAAATGAGGCCCGGGAATGGAGTGCTGGGAAGTCGAAGAGCACGAACTGGCCTAGAATTGGCTCCGGGCATGCAAAATGTGGCCCGGGAATGGGGTTCTGGGAGGTCGAAGAGCACGAAGTGTGTGACTGTTTGCTTAAAACGAGCCGGGTTCTCGCCTGTCCGGCTCCCGCCCAGACCCCTCTGGGGAGTCATCAGACGCTCTCTTTTGACCCCATTAGAAACCTATCAATCTTCGCTGTTGGGTAATATTCACCGATCGAGCTGAGAATAAGATGGCGAGTCGGAATAAGATCCAAGATTGCCGCAAAAAAAATATCCAGGCAAAGCAACCTAAAAGCGATGTGTAGGAGCATATCTGGAAGCATTCCCCTTAAGATTCACATGAGAATCCTGTTGTAGAATTCTGCTGTTCTCGCAGTCGTAGTCGAATTCGCGATGGCAGTCGCAGTGGCAACGGCAGTCGCAGTCACAGCCTCAGCCTGCCTCAGCCTCAGCCTCAGCCTGCCTCAGCCTCAGCCTGCCTTAGCCTCAGCCTCAGCCTGCTTCAGCCTCAACATCAGTCTGCCTTCAGCCTCGGCCTCAGCCTCAGCCTGCCTCAGCCTCACCCTGCATCAGCCTCAGCCTCAGCCTCAGCCTGCCTCAGCATCAGCCTACCTCAGCCTCAGCCTCAGCCTGCCTCTGCCTCAGCCTGAGCCTGCTTCAGCCTCAGCCTCAGTCGCCTTCAGCCTCGGCCTCAGCCTGCCTCAGCCTCAGCCTGCATCAGCCTCAGCCTCAGCCTCAGCCTGCCTCAGCCTGCTCAGCCTCAGCCTCAGCCTCAGCCTCAGCCTGCCTCAGCATCAGCCTCAGCCTCAGCCTCAGCCTCAGCCTGCAGCCTCAGCCTCAGCCTGCCTCAGCCTCAGCCTCAGTCTGCCTTCAGCCTCGGCCTCAGCCTCAGCCTGCCTCAGCCTCAGCCTGCATCAGCCTCAGCCTCAGCCTCAGCCTGCCTCAGCATCAGCCTGCCTCAGCCTCAGCCTCAGCCTGCCTCAGCCTCAGCCTCAGCTGCTTCAGCCTCAGCCTCAGCCTGCCTCAGCCTCAGCCTGCCTCAGCCTCAGCCTCAGCCTCAGCCTGCCTCAGCCTCAGCCTGCCTCAGCCTCAGCCTCAGCCTCAGCCTCAGCCTCAGCCTCAGCCTCAGCCTCAGCTCAGCCTCAGCCTCAGCCTCAGCCTGCCTCAGCCTCAGCCTCAGCCTCAGCCTCCTTTCAGGCTCAGCTCAGCCTCAGCCTCAGCCTGCCTCAGCCTCAGCCTGCTCAGCCTCCTCAGCCTCAGCCTGCCTCAGCTCAGCCTGCCTCAGCCTGCCTCAGCCTCAGCCTCAGCCTGCCTCAGCCTCCTCAGTCTGCCTTCAGCCTCGGCCTCAGCCTCAGCCTGCCTCAGCCTCAGCCTGCATCAGCCTCAGCCTCAGCCTCAGCCTGCCTCAGCATCAGCCTGCCTCAGCCTCAGCCTCAGCCTGCCTCAGCCTCAGCCTCAGCCTGCTTCAGCCTCAGCCTCAGTCTGCCTTCAGCCTCGGCCTCAGCCTCAGCCCTCAGCCTCAGCCTGCCTGCCTCAGCCTCATCAGCCTCAGCCTCAGCCTCAGCCTCAGCCTGCCTCACATCAGCCTGCCTCAGCCTCAGCCTCAGCCTGCCTCAGCCTCAGCCTCAGCCTGCTTCAGCCTCAGCCTCAGTCTGCCTTCAGCCTCGGCCTCAGCCTCAGCCTCAGCCTCAGCAGCCTCAGCCTCAGCCTCAGCCTCAGCCTCAGCCTGCCTCAGCATCAGCCTCCATCAGCCTCAGCCTCAGCCTCAGCCTGCCTCAGCCAGCCTCAGCATCAGCCTCAGCCTCAGCCTCAGCCTGCCTCAGCCTCAGCTCAGCCTCTTCAGCCTCAGCCTCAGCCTCAGCCTCATCCTCAGCCGTGCCTCAGCCTCAGCCTCAGCATCATCAGCCTCAGCCTCAGCCTCAGCCTGCCTGCCTCAGCCTCAGCCTGCCTCCTCAGCCTCAGCCTCTGCTTCAGCCTCAGCCTCAGTCTGCCTGCAGCCTCGGCCTCAGCCTCAGCCTGCCTCAGCCTCAGCCTGCCTCAGCCTCAGCATCAGCCTGCCTCAGGATTCAAAATGTGGCCCGGGAGTGGAGATTTGGGAACTCGAAAACCCCGAAGTGGCCTACAGTTGGCTCCGGGCATTCAAAATCATGCCCAGGAATGGAAGTTCTGGGAACTCGAAGACCACGAAGTGGCCTACAGTTGGCTCCGGGCATTCAAAATGTGGCCCAGGAATGGAGTTCTGGGAACTCGAAGACCACGAAGTGGCCTACAGTTGGCTCCGGGCATTCAAAATGTGGCCCGGGAATGGAGTTCTGGGAACTCGAAGACCACGAAGTGGCCTACAGTTGGCTCCGGGCATTCAAAATGTGTCCCGGGAATGGAGTTCTGGGAAGTCGAAGAGCACGAAGTGGCCTACAGTTGGCTCCGGGCATTCAAAATGTGGCCCGGGAATGGAATTCTGGGAGGTCGAAGAGCCCCACGCGAACCCTGCGGAACCCAGCCACCGAGTGGATTGAGAACCACAGAGAACCCCTGGGGGAACCCAGAAATTCAAAGAAAAACTTAATTTTCAAATTCGACAACATTTCCCCCTTCTATACATCGACAAAAGAGGCCCCCAAGAGAACCCTGCAGAACCCAGCCACTGAGTTGACTGAGAACCACAGAGATCCCCTGGGAGAACCCAGAAATTCAAAGAAAAACATAATTTTCAAATTCGACAGCCTTTCCCCCTTTTCTAGACATAAAAAAAGACCCCCCAAGAGAACCCTGCAGAACCCGGCCACTGAGTGCACTGAGAACCACAGAGAACCCCCGGGAGAACCCAGACATTCAAAGAAAAACATACTATTCAATTTCGACAGCATTTCCCCCTTTCTATATATCGAAAAAAGAAAACC